TCGCTGCTCTGTCCCCTGATCACCTGTCTATGATTCTCTTGGATTTGGGGGCTCTAGGCTCACCCCGCTCTCTTCCCACATTCTTCTCCAGCATGGGGATTTAGTGGGTGGAGAGAAGTATGTCTGTGAGCAAGAGGAGACCCCTTTCCTCAAGGAGATCCCGGGCTGGTGGAGCAGTAGAGCAGAGCAGGGCCTGCCTTAGTGGGAAGGCTGGAGGGTGGGGATGACTTGTTTGTATACTCTTGTCAGGGGGTCCTTGGAGGAGGCAGGGCCTTGGGTGCTAGGTGGGCCCCTACATCCTTCTGCTTCCCCCGCCTTTTCTCCTAAGGAGGACACACGGGCTCAGCGGCAGCGGCTGCAGAAGCAACTGACTGAGCATCTGCGCCAAAGCTGGGGCCTGCTTGGGGCCCCCATACAAACCCGAGACCTGGGAGAGCTGCTGCAGGCCTGGGGTGCTGGGGCCAAGACTGGTGCTCCTAAGGGCTCCCGCTTCACGCACTCAGAGAAGTTCACCTTCCATCTGGTGGGTGCACCTGAGGACATGGGATGTGTGGCTGGATGTGGCAGGCTTGGAGGGTGGCTTTTTGTGTCAGCGCCACACCTTTATCCACACACACGTTCTTGTGTTCCCACTGGACAGGCCCTTGCCCACTGGGGGTGGGTACCCAGAGGTCCCCTAGCTTCTTAGGGACTTGACTGGAGAAAATGTGAATAGGTGGGAACCATGCAAGGGTGTGGGGGTGTTCTTGGGGCAACACCCCCTTTCCTCAGGCAGTTTCCTTTGAGCGTATCTTCTGTCCTAAGATGTTCACTCTGAGGGCCCCCCATCTTTCTCATGGGCGTTTGAGGCTTGAGAGATGGGCAGGTGGGTAGGAGCTGTGTCAGGGTCAGGGAGCTTTCTCCATGAGCAAGCACTCTGGCCTGAGGTTGCAGATGGTGCCTTTACCCACATAGTCACAGTCTAGCCGCCATCAGTGCTTGAGTGGGCATGCATGCTGCACTGGGGGCAGTTCTCAGGGGAGGCTGAGGCTGGGCCACGTGAGGAAGGGCCTTCCCCGACAACCAGGATGCCCCCGTCACTCCCCTAGGAGCCCCAGACCCAGGCCACTCAGGTGTCAGATGTGCCGGCCACCTCCCGGCGGCCTGAACAGGTGAGCAGAGTGGGTTGGAGGGGGGTGTCCCAGGCCCTTGCTTGTCTACTGGGCCTGACACCCCAACCCTGACTGGCCTGGGCCTCCCAGGACACATGGGCAGCTCAGGAACAGGAGCTTGAGTCCCTTCGGGAGCAGCTGGAAGGAGTGAACCGCAGCATTGAGGAGGTTGAGGCCGACATGAAAACCCTGGGCGTCAGCTTTGTGCAGGTGAGGGGCGGGGGAGGGGCTGCACGTTGGGCTAGGTCAGAAGGAGGGCCTCAGGGTGTGAGGGACTAGACGGGACAAGAGGTGCTCTGTAGAGGTCTGCACATGGCAGAAGGGTTCCTGAGAGCCGTTGGGGATCCGTGGGCCTCTTGAGGGTGGCTGTGAGAATCAGGCTGGGGTGAGGGTCTGTGGGCATCTGTGGAGCACCGTGGGTCTGCATGGGCAGGGGATTGAGGGGTCCTCGGAGGGTCTGTGGGCATCTGTGGGGCACCACGGGTCTGCATGGACAGGGGATTAGGGGATTCTCGGGGTCCTTGGCACCAGCGTGGAGCTGTCAGAGAGGCCTGTGGGGGCCACGGGGGTGTACAGTCATCTGTGGAGCTCCATGGGGGCTGTGGCATGTGACTGGGTGTCCGCGGGCCAGGCAGAGTCTGAGTGCCGGCAGAGCGAGCTCAGCACAGCGGAGCGTGAGCAGGCCCTGCGCCTGAAGAGCCGCACGGTGGAGCTGCTGCCTGATGGGGCTGCCAACCTTGCCAAGCTGCAGGTGGGGTTGGGGATGTGGCTGGGGGGGAGAGGCAGGGCGTGGCGGGGCGGGGTTGGAGGGCCCAGCCTGTGTGACACATACCCACCCCCCACCAGCTTGTGGTGGAGAATAGTGCCCAGCGGGTCATCCACTTGGCGGGTCAGTGGGAGAAGCACCGGGTCCCACTCCTGGCTGAGTACCGCCACCTCCGAAAGCTGCAGGATTGCAGAGAGGTAAGCAGTGGGGCACTGGGCTGTGGGCAGGCCAGGGAAGACTCGTTCCCTCTCTAGGGGGCCATCCCTGTGCTCTGCTCACTGTCTTCTGCCTGTGGGCTCCTGGCAGCTGGAATCTTCTCGGCGGCTGGCAGAGATCCAAGAACTGCACCAGAGTGTCCGGGCAGCTGCTGAAGAGGCCCGCAGGAAGGAGGAGGTCTATAAGCAGCTGGTAAGGCCTGTGTGAGGGACCTGGGTAGCTTAGGAGGGTGGGGGGCAGGTCCTGGGGCAGTGCCTGCTATGTCCCTGCCTAGGTGTCAGAGCTGGAGACTCTGCCCAGAGATGTGTCCCGGCTGGCCTACACCCAGCGCATCCTGGAGATTGTGGGCAACATCCGGAAGCAGAAGGAAGAGATCACCAAGGTACGCCGCCAGGGCCATGGAGGGTGGGTCATTTGGGCTGTCAGGCATAGTGTGGCTGCACACAGGGACCTCACACCCTCAGGCAGAGCTGTCCAGTCGCACTCTAACACAGAATAGTCACACACAATCCATCCCAGTCACCCCTGATACAGTGACAAAGTCCCTGTCTGGTGCACATGAGGACCCTCCACTGCAGCCAGCCTGCCCCAGGCAGGGGCTCATGGCCACCATGGTGTCTGCCAGATCTTGTCTGACACGAAGGAGCTTCAGAAGGAAATCAACTCCTTATCTGGGAAGCTGGACCGGACGTTTGCGGTGACTGATGAGCTTGTGTTCAAGGTGTGGGGCAGGTTGGGCGGGGGTGAGTGGGGTGAGGCTGGGCTGCTGCCTTGTGCATCTGCTAACGGGCTGGCTGGGGTCCAGACCCAGGCCCTGTGCGAGGCTGGAGGTGCACTGATGCCCAGGGCTGGCTTTGTTTCATGGAGGATGAAGCTAGTGGGGTGGTGGTAGAGGGTGGCCTTCTTAGGGCATGGAGATGGTCAAGGGCAGCCCACTGATACCTTTGAGGTCCCTGTGTCTGGTCAGGATGCCAAGAAGGACGATGCTGTTCGGAAGGCCTATAAGTATCTAGCTGCCCTGCACGAGGTGAGGGGAGACATGTGCCTGGGGTGGGGCTGCTGGGGGTGGGTGGGGCTGGGTGCAAGCCTTCTGCTCCTGTTGTCCCCAGAACTGCAGCCAGCTCATCCAGACCATTGAGGACACCGGCACCATCATGCGGGAGGTTCGAGACCTCGAGGAGCAGGTAAGGCCTGGGGGCAGGATGGGGAGCCAAGGCAGGCGGGGGGACAGTTGCTCAGGTTATGCTGAGAGAGGCCGTGGAGCCAGACACAGCCTATGGCTGGACACCCAGCCCTGCCCCTTAGTGCCTGTGCCTGTGACCTGGGACAGGCAAGTGGCCTACTGTGAGCCCCAGCTTCCACCCCAAGGGCCCTCCTTCCTGCCTCCCAGGGCCATGGGCAAAGGCTTCAGTTTAAAGATGTAGGGGGAATCCTGCCACATGGCAAAGGATGCTTTGGGTAGAGGGAACACCACGTGAGTCCTGGCCATGGGACAGAGCAGGCTGTTGTTGAAGGTGGTGGGAGGGGCCCAGAGTGGCTGTGATGGGGGCTGGCGAGCAGGAGCTGGGAAAGGGGCTGTGTGTGCGCTGAGGGGGCATGTGTTCACGTTGCCTCAGATCGAGACAGAGCTGGGCAAGAAGACCCTCAGCAACCTGGAGAAGATCCGGGAGGACTACCGAGCCCTCCGCCAGGAGAACGCTGGCCTCCTGGGCCGGGTCCGGGAGGCCTGAGGAGCTGCCGGCAGAGGTCTCTCCCCAGCCTCAGGCAGGGATTTGGGGTGCTAGAGGCAATGGCCAAGCACATGCCCTAGCTACTTCCTCCACTGCCCAGTTCCTCCTGCTGCAGCCTTGGACCCAGACCCCTGCCCACTGACCGCAGCCCTTATATGGGGTGATAGTCCAGCATGTGGGGAGCTCGGCTGCAGTTTATTGGGGATGGTACTGTGGGTTGGGGGCCTTGAATCCCAAATAAATGAGTAGTTCCTCTGCAGTCTAAGCTGAGGCATGGATCAGGGCTCAGAGAATGGGAGTGAGGTGAGTGGCAGGGGAGACAACGGGATATTTTTGGCAAGTCAGTGTGTGTGGCTGCGTGTGTCTGCATGGGACTCAAGAGACCCACTGTGGGGCTGTGCGTGTGCACATGCGTGAGGTAACGCAGGTGAATTCTAACAGGCCGTGTGTGTGAGTGAGCATGTGTTGGGACCTCAGATCCTGAGGGTACTGACGCTGCTTCTGTGTAGGCCTCTGGGCACACCCGTGTGACAGTGCCCCTGTGGGTCCCGAGGCTGGCTGTGGGTGTGCGCCTTGGGGGATGTGGTTTGTCAGGGCTGTGCTTGTGTGTGATTGTGTGACGATGCAGCTTTGAGGTTGTTTGAGTGTACTGAGGCAGGCTTTCTGTGTTTTGGGGTTTATGTTGAGTGAGGGACAGGATTGTGACATTTTGTGTGTCTATGTGACTTTTCCAGCCCTGAAGTCATCTGTGTGAGCAGCTGAGGCAGGCTGTGTGTGGCTGGTTGTGAAGGCTCTTGTTTGGCTGCAGGGCTCGACTGGGGGGTGTGTCTGGGGCGGAGGTCGGGGCTGGGGCCAGGAATGGGGCCCCTCTGAGCAGCCTTGGGGCAAAGGATATGATGGGGGAGGGATGGCCACCAATGGGGGAACAGGGGCCCTGGCAGGCAAGACAGTGGAAATCTCACTTCTTGTTCCCTGTGGGCACATCCAGGGCCTGTCATCTCTGACCCCACCACCTCTCCCTCCCACCAGTTTGGCCCCTGTTCGTCCGTCCTCCTTTCCTTGATCTTGAGGTCAGGGGCTGTTTCAGTACAGTCCTCCACCACAGTCCGGGGTCAGGGGGCGGGTGTAGGGGCCCCTGTTCGTCCGTCCTCCTTTCCTTGATCTTGAGGTCAGGGGCCAGGTGTAGGGTTGGAACACCTGCTTGGCCTCTGGCTCCGTTTCTTGCGGAACTCCAACTCATCCACGGTCCACACAGCCCCCTTCTCGCTCTCCACCCGCACAAAGCACTTGTGCAGGCTCAGGTTGTGGCGGATGGCGTTCTGTGGAAGGCCGGGGACAGGGAGCAGGTGGGCGTCAACCTCTGAGGCCAGCAGCCACCACCAGCAACCCACATCCCGTTCCTCCCCAATGTGCCTATAAGCCCAGCCCCAGGCCTGCCCACTTCGAGCTGCGGTGGCACTTGAGGCCATCTCAGCCACCGCCACCTCAGAGGAGCTCACCTTCCAGGTGGCAGGATGGTTTCTGAAGAAGGCGAACATGCGTGTGAACCAGTGGTAGATCTCATTGAGTGTCCGCTGCTTCTCTGGAGCCTCCAGGATGGCCTGGAAGTTGGGGGGTGGGATAAGGGGCACGTTCCCCAAAGTTGGGGTTTAGAGGGGCTGTGACCTACCCTGAGCCATCTGACATGGGGGTGGAATTGTGGGGGCAGGTAATCAGGGACAGGACTAGATGTGGGGTGAAGCATGGGGTCAAAGATGGAGTTAGAAAAGGGGTGAAGTGTCGGGTCGGGCAGGGTTAGATGTGGGGTGTGGGTATGGTTGTTCTGGGATTAGGTAAGGGATCAGGACTGAGGTTGGGAGTGGGGTCTTGTTCAGGGCTAGGGCTGAAGTGAGGTGAAAGGTCTGGGATGGAGTTGGAGTTGGGGTTCTCTGTGGAGGTGACATTTCAGGGTTGGGGAAGGTGAAGGGTCAGAAGTGGGGTCAAGGATTTGGAAGGGGTAAAGGGCGAGGCCAACTTAAGGGTCAGGGAAGGGGTGGGTTAAGAGTCAGGCTGGGGGTGGACTCAGGTGGGTCTAGGGGTGAGGGATGGGATGACGTGGCTTTAGTTCAGGAGCCAGAGATGGGGTGAATTACTGAGTATCTTACATGTCAGGGACGTGGTTAGGTGGTTAGGCTCGGGGCAAGGATGAGGTTAGTTGTGGGGTTCGGTGTGGAGTGAGGCTGAGGGTCAGGGAATTTGATCAGTTTGAATTCAGGAATGGGATTACAGAGTCAGCGATGATGATTGCAGTGAAGTTATCGGTCAGGATGGGACTAGGTCAGGGCTTCAGTTCAGAGATAGTTGGGGAATGTCTGGTATCATGTAGGGGTGAGGTTCAGGTTTGGGGTTAGGTGTGGGGCTAGGATGAAGGTTCTGAGAAGGCATTGGGGACGCTGAGATGAAGGAGTTGGGATGGGGTGATGAAGTTAAGGGTCAGATGAGTGTTACAAGGAAAGGCTGGGAATGGTGCCCAGCTGGGGGTGTATTGACATACTGGAGTACGTTGGGGCCAGGGAAGGAGATGGGGTTGGGTTGGCATAAAGGCTGGGGAAGGAGTTAGAGTAAGAGCTGGGGTATGTTTAGGGCAAGGTGCAGTGATGGGGTTAGCTTTGGGCTATTTTATAGGTCCAGGAGAGGGTTAGGTATGGGGCTGAGGTGGACATCTGGAAGGGGATAGGTTTAGGGTCAGAATTTGGCATGCTCTGGCCTGGATAGTGGTTTAGGTTTGGATTCGTGGACAGGTTTGGGGTGAAGCTAGCATGAGGGGTCACATTTGAGGCGTGGCTTGGGGCTCCTTGGGGCTGGGGCTTGGGAATGGAGGAACCCACTCTGAGGGCGCTCAGAGGGAGACAGGAGTTTGGGAGGCAGGTCCCCCACCCCATCTTTGTCTTCCTCCTCCTTGGGGCTGAGCTGCCCTGCTTACCCAGCGGATGAGCGTGGCATAGGTGAAAGGGGGTCGCATATTGTGGAACTTGAAGTAGTCCATGTTGTGAAGGAACTCTGTCAGAGGGTGGGGATGAATCAAGCCCCATGCAGGACCTCCTAGCTAGCTCCCTGTCCCCTCTCCCTACAAGGTGAGTCTACAGGCCTGAGATCTCACCGTCAACACCTGTGTCCACGGGCACAAGTACTGTTTGCTGAGCACCTGACATATAAGTTGTATCATTTATTCTTTGCACCACTTCTGCCAAAATAGTTCTCCCCGAGGTTGCAAAGAAGCGGAGTAACTTGCATACCAAAGGATGCAAGAGGTTAAATGGCAGAGCCAGGATGACAGTCAAGGTCTCTGATCCCTGCTAAGCCTACAGGCCAGGCCTGGTGGACAGCAGTGGATAGGTGAGCTTGGGCGAATCCACCCCGATTTTCCTTGGTCAGGGGAGGAAAGGAGGTGCTCCTGGATGGAATTACTTAGCAGGGTCCCTCCCTTCTGATGGCCGAATGTAGTAGCTGGAGTCCAGAGTGGGTGAGGCATGGCCCCAATCCCCAGGGAAGTCAGAGCTAGGGGCCAGACACTCAAGACCATATGGGGGACTTTCAGGCCACGAATATTCTGAAAGGAAGCTTTTGTGAGCGGATGCATTTTCCCAAAGGCTGAGTGGTGGCAGCTGCGGCGGTGGTGGTGGGAAGGGGCAGCATGGAGCTCCTTTGCACCCTCCTCCCAGAGCCTGTCAGGATTAGGAGCTTGGGAGCACTGTGTAGTGCAAGGACCATTCTTACCTGGGAATGTGCTGTTTCCATGGCTACCCCACAGGTGCCTCCGCACAGCAAACAGGCTGTCAGGGGCCTCCCGGGGGCCAGACAAGGCTGGGACGGCACTGCCTTGGCTGCCAGCAGCTACAATGCAGCAGGAGCCCTTGTCAGATGATGCCTGGGGGAGGGGTAGAGGCTGGTGACCCAGAGGCTTAAACTTCCCACTTTTTACTTTTTATTTTTTTTGAGACTGAGTCTTGCTCTGTCGCCCAGGCTGGAGTGCAGTGGTGCGATCTCGGCTCACTGCTATCCCCCGACCTTCCGGGTTCAAGCAATTCTTCCTTTTTTTTTTTTTTGAGTTGGAGTCTCACTCTGTCACCCAGGCTGGAGTGCAGTGGCGCGATCTCAGCTCACTGCAAGTTCCGCCTCCCGGGTTCATGACATTCTCCTGCCTCAGCCTCCCAGTAGCTGGGACTATAGGCACCCGCCACCACGCCCGGCTAATTTTTTAGGTTCAAGCAGCCTCAGCCTCCCGAATAGCTGGGACTACAGGTGCCCGCCACTATGCCCAGCTAATTTTTGTATTTTTGGTAGAGACGGGGTTTCACCATGTTGGCCAGGCTGGTCTCGAACTCCTGACCTCATGTGATCCACCTGCCTCGGCCTCCCAAAGTGCTAGGATTACAAGTGTGAGCCACACTGCACCCGGCCCCACTTTATTTTTAAATCAGTGTTTTCCAAAGCAAAGACGCCCTCTTCTAAATTCCAGTCTGAAGCGGAATCCCACAAAACAGCATGAGCCATATTTATTAGAGCGCAGGTGTGGATGTCGTATGTGGCCACTGATGCTGAGACCATGAGCTGGGGTTGAATAGGGCTCTTTACCACTCAATTGTGACCTTGGGAAAGTCACCTAAACCTCCCTGGCCTCAATTTTCCTCATCTGTATATTGGCATCATGAGAAATAAACTACCACCAGCAAAGCACTCAAAAACAGTGCCTGGCCTCCAGGGCTGGGTTCATGGGTGTGTGACCTGTGTGGTTATGTGGCACCCTGTGCTTTGTTTAATGCTCTGTGGTCGCCATCTTGAAATCTGAACAAGGGGCCCTGCAGGTTACATAGCTGGTCCTGCTGGCGCACAGCCTGCGTCTGGAAAGTCTTTGGCTATTTGCATTTGCTTTGACAACTCAGGATCACAGTGTTTGGGGATCTTAGGGTCAGAGGGTTTGTAAGTGGAGGGGGACAGATTTCTAGGTCTGGGCATGTTTGGAGCTGGGGACAGGGGACCCTAGCTCTCAGGACCTGCATGTGAGGTTAGGTTCCCTGCACCCTGCAGACCTCCTCCCTGCCCCCCAGCAGTCTGAGTCTGCCACCACCAGTCCTGGGGTCGCTCACCACAGATGAAGCCTTGGTCAGTGCCATTTTCCCAGCCAGGTGGGCTTGCATAGCACTCAGCTTCTCCTTCTCCAGCAACAGCTGTGAAATGGCACAAACATGAGGCCTCAGCCTGGCCCTTCTCTGCCACATCTTTGCCCAGGCTACGGTATTCCCTGGGAGTGCCCACTCCTCTTCCTTCCTTTATATCAGCCCTCGTCCCAGGTGAACTTGGTTTCTGGCACATGGTGGACAGAAGGTTTTGTGTACTATCTCTGTCCCCTACCCCCCACTGCCCTGACATTACCTGCTGCTCCAGAGACTGTACCATCTCTCTCTGGAGGAGACATTGTGCCCTGCCCTTCTCATCCAGAAGATGGTCTGCTTGGCAGTGCCTAAGTAGGGAGAAGATTCCATACAGGTGACCATGACAGGCCTGGCCTGGCTCAATGCTCTGAATGGGGAGGGCCCAGACCCTCTGGGAGGTCTCTCGTTTGAGCCCCAGCTCCTCTCCCCTCTCTATCTCAGTCTCTGTCTCATACTCCTCATTCCCTTAACACATGCCACTCGGCACCTACTGCATGTCAGGCCTGAGCTCACCACTTGAGCCTGGCCAGGGTGCTGGAGATAATATTGGAAGTGTGGTGAGCTGAGAATGGGCCAGGGAGGTGAGAGTGGGCAAGGCGTTCCGGGTGGAGGGGACGGCCTGTGCAAAGGCCTGGCTGCAAGGAGGACAGGACATGCGGGGTTGCTGCTAAGGGTTGTGTGCAGTGTGTGTGTGTGAGAGAGAGAGAGAGAGAGAAGAGAGAGAGAGGCATGGGGGGGGACTGAGGGGAGGCAGCAGCAGCCATCTAGAGGAGCTAGAACTTTGGGGACAGTAGAATAAGGCTGGCATGTTGGCATGAGGAGTAGCAGGGCAAAGCAGTTAGGAGTGCAGAATCTGGAGCCTGGCTGCATGGGTTCAAATCCCAGATCTGTCACTCAGGAACTGGGAGCTTTTGATCAAGGCACTTAACCTCTTTGGCCTCAGTCTGCTTGTCTGTAAAATGGGGGTAAATAACAGAACAAATGTTTCTTATTATACATATGAGGAAACTGAGGTCCAGAGAAGCTAAGTAATTTGTCCAAGGTCACACAGGCAGTCAGGGATGGAGCTGGGATTTGAACCCACAGTCTCAGAGTTTAGCTCTTTCATCTTACTACTTATTGGGATTAAGCCTGGGCTGAGATCTGTACCCCAGACCTCTCCCCACAAGCCAGGGCCAGTGGACTGGCACAGGCCTGGGCCACTCACTTGAGGAAGTCCTCTGGCTCTTCGAAGACCTTCTCACATCCGGGCCACTTGCAGACACCATTTGCCAGCAGTGGGTAGGAGCTCTGGGGCATGGCCGAAAGGGTGCTGGGGGGATAGAGGGTGTCAGGGGAGGGGATAGGAGGGTGAGGATCCTTCCCAGCCCTGTCCACTGACCTGTCCTTCCTGGGTGCACCAGGATTTGGGAAGGTGCAGAGCAGTGCTGGCTCCCTGGACACCCATTCCAGGCTGGCCACGTTGATCCCTGTGGGTGGGGACAGGGCATCTCTGGAGGCTGTGGGCTGGGCTCTGGAGCTTGACCCACAAGGCCTCTCATTTTGAGCTTCCCACCCTCCTGAGCCTCAAAAACCCTGACTCCCAGGGGGCTCTGCTGTCCCCAAAGTCCCAGGCTTCTGGCAGAGAAGCTTAAAGACGGCCATTCGCAGGTGCTGACATTTTGACTAGCTTTGTAAAGCTCTGTGGTTTCGTGATTTTGACATTCTGCATCTTTAAGGTTCTGCACCTGACATTTTTTGGAGGTTGGAGTTTCCAAGCCTCTGAGACCTGACACCTTTGACACTCAGAGGACTGCAATTCAGAATAGCCTACACTGCTCACGGCCAAGGATCTGGGGACCCAGGGGTTCTGTGAAGCCATGGGGTATGGGCTGAGGTGTTACCAGGTGGGAGGCCAGGCCGGGCCTTGAGGGAGAAGACCCCAGTGGCAGTGGTGGGTGGTGGGAGGCTGATCATGGCTGGGCTCTCCAGGGGGTGCACCTGCAGCACAGGGGTCCGGGCGTGGGCATCCACCGTTGAGAGCTGGGGGGCACATGTGGGCTGTGGTTCAGCCTGGCTTGGGGTCCCTCCCCACAGTTCTCCCACCTGCTCCCTCCTCCCTGCCCATTCACCGTCCATACCTGGTGCATGAAATGTGGCCTGTCCTGGAGGAGTGCCTGTAAGTGGGGCAAGGGGCCCAGCCGTGCCCCGGAGGGTGCCACCATGACTAGGGGCAGTGTGGGCAGCTGGGCAGAAAGGCAGGTGGGTGAGAGGCCATCCTGATCCTCAGTGTTCTGTGTCTAATTCATATACTCTGCACTGCAAGCCCACATGGTAGATGCTATGATCGTCCCCCTTTTATACGTGTGGAAACTGAGGCTCATGGAGATCGAGTAACTTTTTAAAGATAAAACAGCTAATAAGTCGCAGAGCTGGCCTCAACCCTGTCACCTCACCTCCTTGGCCCCAGTCCTCTCCTCTTGTCACATGGGGATGGGGACACATAGCTATGCCCATGGGACTATAATATGGCCTCCTCTTCTCCTGAGACAGGGATTGGGAGGTTGGGGAGAACCTCCAATCTCTGAGGCCTGGCAGGTGGGGACTTTCTTGGCCCTGCAACATCTGCATAAGTCACAGACTTGCCTGGGACCCAGAAACCACTTCCTGTGCCCCAGCCAGCCCCCCTCCCGCCTGGTGCCACAGTAAAGGTCGGCACCTGTAGGTCCAGGTACCCCACCCTGCCTGCCCCATCCTGGGCCCAGGGCCTCACCTGCAGCTGCGATGGTGGCATAGGGTTCAAGGAGGAAGAGGAGGCATGAGCCCCGCCTCGAAGATCTCGGCCCTGGAAGATTCCCCCAGGGCCCCGGGCCCCCAGCAGGTCTGAGGCTTTGGGCGCAGCCCTCCAGCTGGGCGAGGCTCCTGGGGATGGGCCAAGGGCCAAGGAAGGGGCCGAGGGCTTGCCTGGCCTGGGGTTGGGCATCGGGTCCTTGTCCAAGGGCAGGCTGTGTAGACAATAGGGGAAAGGAGTCACACATGTGCTAGGGCGGTATAAGATACTCAACCACCTGAACCACGTGGACACCCCTCTGGTGAGAGCAGGCATTGGCTGGGACATGTCCCGAGGGGTCCCACAGCTGCACCCCAGCTATGGACACACACACATACACACACACACACCCCCCCCCAAGAACACAGGTACACATGCATACCCACACACGCCCCACGTGCAGAGGTCCAGCACCTGGCTTGCCTGCCCACACTAGCACAGCCCTGGTGTGGATGTGTCCTCTATCTATGAGGGCAATGGTTGTTTCTCCCTCCACTTGAGAGCTGTTTCAAGCCTCAGGCCTCCGGCCCTCCCGCACCCTGCACAGGCTGTGTTTGCTCATGTTGCCGGAGCTGGTCTTGGACTTTCTCCTGGGAGTCCTATTTTGCCCCAGTGACTAGGCATGGACTCAAAAGATTCATCTGGCTGCTGTGAGTGGAGCTAGTGAGAAGGCTATTGCAATAGTCCTGGCAAATGATGATGCTGGCACAGAATGGGCTGGTGGCAGTGGAGAAGGTGAGAAGTGGGTAGATTCTGAGACTTAATCTGCAGCTGGATCAGGAGCAGTGCTGGCAGCTTGGATGTAGTGGGTAAGAGGGAGGGTCAAAGTAACATGGGTTTTAGCTTGAGTAGCTGGAAGGACCAAGCTGACATTACCTGAGATGGGGGACATGGCGGGGAGTTGGATTGGGGGCAAAAGTGCAGGTGTGGATAGACATGAAGAGTCTGGCATTAGATGTGTGAGTGGAGGAGCTGAGGGGGCAGCTGAATACGGGGGTCTGGATCTCAGGGCAAGGAGGCGAGTCCAGGAGTGTGATCATGCACGGATCCAGCATGGCAAGTGACAGAGAGAAGGAGAGACAGGGTCTCTTGAGCTGGGGCCTGTAGAAGCCTCTCAACCCAATCCCCATCAGAGTTCACTCCAATTTCTGGCCCTCGAGCCTGGCTCATCCTACTCACCCTGCCTCAGATGCCCACTCCTTCTCCTCTTCCCCTGTCCAAGCCACACAAGGCCTGCTCTTCTATTGTCCTCACCTTGAAAGCCCTCCACAATGGCTCCAGGCCCCTCTATTGAGCCCCAGAATCTTCCACTCCCCGAGGGAAGCGCTGGCTTTTCAGGATCCTGTAATCCTGGTCTGAGAGGAAGCCAGAGCTGGAAGGGACTGCCCAGCCAACCCCATTATTACAGAAGGGGATGCTCAGATGCTGAGTTCCATAGTCCCATAGTGACTTGAGAACTCCACTTCTTTCTTTAGGAAGTGTTTCTGTGTGCACATTTTATAAACTCTCTGGTGTGTGTATGTGTGTGTCTGTGTGTCTCCATCTCTCCGTTCCACCTCACAGCACTGAGTTGGGCACACAGCTGCTGAGAGCAGCCCGGGGGAGTATGGAAGGGTTCTGGGGGAGCAGTTGCTCCTTCCTTTCTTTGCTGTCACCTCCTGGGGGTTGACAGAGCTGTGGTGCTGAGGGAGATGAGTGCGAGAATCCAGGTATTAAGTTCTTAGTCTCCTGGGGGCTTAGAACATTACTTCGTGAGAAACAGGAGTGTGGGTCTGTGAAGGCTCCAAACAAGGGCCTGGGAGAGCACTGGTGAGATGAGAAGGTGAGTGAATGAATGAAGCCAGAGATGGGGTGATGTTCCTTCAAGCCGAGGAATAACAAAGATTGCCAGCAACCACCAGAAGCTGGGGGAGAGGCCTGGAACAGCTTCTCCCTCATGGCCCCCAGAAGAAACCAACCCTGGCAACACCTTGATCTTGGACTCTAGCCTCCAGAACTGTGAGATGATCAATTTCTGTTGCTGAAGCCACTCAGTTGTGGTACTTTGTTATAGCAGCCAGAACAAACTAATACCAATTTTGGTGCAAATGGATGTTTTCCACCATTCTGGCCTGGCCCATGCGGCTGGCCTGTGGTCACTTCTGAAGCTGCCTGGACACTTGGCCAGAGCTAAGAATTCTCCCCAAACACATGTGGGATGGCCTGACTCAGTGAAGCACAGATACATTTTCAGACAGGGATGTGGAGATGATCTGTCTGGGGGTAGGGGACCTAGAGGGCCGGGCTGGGCAGCCAGCTTCCTGCACTGTCTGTTGGGACATCCCTTTCTGACTGGGTTTCTCAGAAGCTGCATGGGGGATGTTTCTGGGACGCAGATTATGTTTTCATATCGGGGTCTGCATCTGGGCCCTGTTGTCACAGCCCCCGACTTGCCCAGATTTTTCCGCCATTGACGTCATGGCGGCCGGATGCACCGGGCTTCGTCGACACCACGGAGGAAGAGAAGAGGGCAGATACCCCACCCCACAGGTTTCGTTCCGAGAATTGGCTGCCCTGTCCTGCAGCAGGCTTGGCCCAGGTGGGGTGACGTGGGTGCTAGTGGATGTGGTAGGTGTTGTCCATCTGGCCACCGTGACAAGCCTCTAGCTCTGTAGACCTGGCCCTTCTTGGGTTGTGGAGAGGACCCAGGTTTGAAGCTCTGAGAGTGCCAGGCAGGCTCCACAGATACTGGGACCCCTGGGGTCTTCAAATAGTATAACACCAGGACTTCAGAATTATAGAGCAGCATTTCTTAAATTTAAAGGATCCTAGAATCTCAAAACCACAGACTGTGGGGTCTATGGTCCCAATGTCTCAGTATGTGTAGGGCCAGTGTCCCTGGTATCCAAACTCCCTGGAACCACCTGAAAGGCAGCTTGCTGCTTTATAGGGCCTCTTGCCTACCAGACCTGGAACCACAGCTAGCCTCCCCAGGGCCTCACTCTCCCTGTCCACTCTGGAACGACATTCCCAAATACATGGCCACTCCGCCAGAGATGGCAACGGGGAGGAGGTGGTTGAGGCTGGTGTGCCTTTGGCCTGGGCCTCATCGGGGGAGCTGGAAAAGTCTCGGCCTTCACCAATACAGAGCCCATCACCAGACTCTCTGGAGGGGCCCCACAACCAAGGTTTTCAGGGACCAGCACCAGCTCTGGGGACACACAGCCTGACTGACTGACATTCCTCCATCATCACCACGCTCTGGCCAACTAGGCCTCCTGACCCATGGAGCCCAGGGCCTCACCTAGCCCAGCTCTTGTGAGGCTGGGCCCCACACTGTGATCGTGGATCGTCCAACCTGTGAGAAGCTGGGGTCCAATGTGTGAGAAGGCAGAAGGGGGAATGGTAGCCCAGGTCCCCCTTCCCCCTTCTGGGTGCTGAGGGATAAACTGAGGCCTGTAGTTGAGGAGAGAGCCAGATCCAGGGTCCTACCTAGAGTCCTGAGATCTAGGCTTGGATTTCAACTCTGCCGCTGCATTTTGGCGAGACCCTGGGATCTCTAGTCCTCAATTTGCCCTTCTACACTGAGCAGGGAGAGGCGTGGAGTCGACGAGGGCCAGGGCCCTTCTACACTGTGTCTGGTTAAGTCATTAGGTGTCTGCAGGGCTTCAAGTTGACAAGTGCCCCTCTATCCAGGGGACTGGCTGAGAGATAGGGATACATAGAGACAAAGAGACACACACAAAGAGCGAGCAAGAGAGAACACGAGATAGAGACACTGAGAGAAATGGAGACATACATGGAGAGCCAGAGTGCATACGCGCGAGAGGATTGCCTCAAATAAGAACATTTGCTGGTCTATGGCTGGTTCAACTGATGCTGCCTGAAATAATCAAGAATAAAGAAGGACAAGGTGCCAGGAACGCCCATGGCTGGGTATTGAATTGTATTGCAAAGCAACAATCAGCAAAACAATGTGGTCCTGGTATAAGAACAGATACTGGGGAAGAGAACAGAACAGAAAGCTTGGACATGGACCCACGTATGGAGAGAACTGAGTTTGTGATGAATGTGGCATTTCAAACTGGAGGACCATGGAGGATGGATTGTTTAACAAATGTGTCTGAGATAATTACAGAGAAGATAAAGTTATTGAGTGAATAATCAGTCCATTATCCCAACAACCCCTCCCTGCCCAGTTTGAAATGTCACCACCATCATATACCCTAAAATACCCAGATCCATTCAAGATATAAGCTTTAATACCTAATGCTGATCTTGGGTTTATTGTGTGTCAGGCTTTCTGCTAAGTATTTACTGTGGTTAAAAATTTTAATCTAAACAAAGACTCCTGAGGAAGGTACTATTATAATCATTGCAGTACATATGAGGAAATGGAGGTATGGAGAGTTTAAGTGCCTGGCTAAAAATCACACATATGGCTTGGGGTGACGCTGGGTTTGTCTCAGACAGTCTGGCTCCAGTACCCACACTCTTAACCTCTATAGTAAATGGAAAAAATGAAGCCATAAAAGAGACTAGAAGCCAACATAGGTGAACATTTATCTCATTTTCAAGTGGGAAAGGACTTTCTAAGCACAAAACCAGAGACAGAAGCCACAGAAAAAAAGACTAACCTATTTGACTATATAAAACCATCATAAGCATCACAAAAAAACACCGTAAACAAATAGAAAAAAACAAATGATGAATTGGGGAAAATATTTGCTATATATGTATGGCTGATGAAAGGTTAATAACCATTCCAAATAAACAGCTGTGGCAAATCAATAAGAGAAAAATAAGATGAACACCCTATTAGGAGTAAGGACGTGACCAGACAACCAAAAAAGAAAAAAAAAAAAAAAAAAGAAAAAAGCACAAATGGCCAACAAACAGTAAAAGTGATCAAAAGATGCAAATTTCAACAATGTGATAATGTGTTTTTCTTACCTGTAATGTTGGGAAATAATTAAAAAATAGTAATACTCACCCAGGGTTAGGTTAAGTAGAGGGAGCATAAAATAGGACAATCTTTTGGAAGGAGAATTTGCAGAGAGGGTCATAAACTTTAAAAATGCATGTTCCCTTTGCCCCAGCAACTCCCTTTTCAGGAATCCAAGGAAGCAGTCAGGGAAGTTTATAGAAAAAAACAAGAAACAACCGGAATGTCCAACAATTGGCACTTGGTCAAATCAATCAAAGTTCATGCTGATGTGAGGACAGTCTTGTCCCTCAGGAAAGATCATGTGTTCAAACAATTTTTAGTAAGCTTCAAAAACACTACTATTAATTGAATAAAGCAGGAACAAAACCAGTAGATAGCATGATTCTAATTTGGTTACAGAGATACTAATAGCTAACACTTCGTGAGCACTTATTGTGTGCCAAACGCTGCGCTAAGCCTGCAGAATCGAGCTCATCCCAGCCCTGAACAACCTGCTCGCTTCCTGAACATGGACTCTGGTCACACACATGCAGTCCTGGGGTAGGTCCACACAGCTAAACCATGGTTGACAATGGCGTGAAGTGCTCCCTGCCCCCACCCCCACCCCAAGGGTCTCCTCTAAAGTGATACAAGCAAAGTTCAGTTAAGTGCTCAGCTTGCCCTGGCACCTTGCAATCCTGCTACCAGCGTGAACAGAACTGATGCTCACTCTCATAAAATGTAAAGGTCCTCAGCGACATTACTATTATTAAGCGCTAGCTGTGTACAAAGCTCTAGGCTGGATGCTGGCTGGGATGGCAGGAGGGTGGGGGGAAGGCAAGAAAAGAGAGTGGGAGAGACGGAGGAAAGGAGATCGATGGAGTGTAGTCAAGATGGAGGAGACAGAGACAGGGGAGATGGTCAGAGGCCAGGAGAGATGCGGGGAAAGAGAGTCTAAGTGTAGCAACAGACAGATGGCAGGAGAAGGAGAGGCAGAGAAACATGTAAAAGAGCGAGACAGGGTGAGCAGAGAGACAGAGAAGGATGAGAGGCATCAAGAGCTAAGAGACAAAGAGATGAGAGAGATGCAGTTGAAATTTTCAGTTGCACCTGGACAGCATTTCAAGTTGTTCAAAGCTCTGAAATCCATAAAGACTGGCAGCTGACATATTTTTAAAATCCTATCCATCTACGTATCCATTGATGAATTCATTTATCTTTGCCCCTGCCCATGCATTAAGTACTTCACCTTTAAGTTTTCTGCCATTTATTCTATTATTATTATTTTAAAGACCTTACCTGGCTGGAATCACGGTAGCTGGGTACATCCCAATGTACCAGAGGGCCCCTGACCCCCCGGTGCCTACCTCCCTGCCATCTCTTCCAATGCGGCCCACATCTGGTAGGGGAGAGGGGGGACACTCACCTTGGTGAAGTGGACTGACAGAAAAGGATCAGCCTGGCTTGTGGGAAACTGTCACGTATCAAAAACAACTTTGCTTTTATACCGAGAAGAAAAACCACGCTGTACGGTGTGGAAGCCGCAGACCTCTCTCTTCTAATAATCCAAATTTTTTTTCGATGAGTGTGTACGCTGATAATCACGGGGTGGGGGGGGTTCTCATAGTTTTTTTTTTCTCTCTCTCTGTGTTTCTCCTTTTCTTGATTATGAGACTTAAACGGAAATTTTGAAATTTTGGGTTTTTTTCTTTGCCCTTTACGAGTCATCTGAAAATATGATTTCTTCCCCTCACCACAGAGGTGAGAGGTATCAATGAGATAATAGGGCTCATGAGAAACCACAGTTTTTAAAACAAAAGTGTGTAGAGTGTGAAAAAAAAAAAAAAAAACAAGGGAAAAGAACTAAAATAAATCACAGGGCCAACCCGAGGCAGGCAGAGACACCATTCTGTGAGTGAGAAGATATTTGAGGGTCTCTGGGGAAAGAAAGAGAGAATCTGAAGCTCTATGTGTGGATGGGAAATGCCAGTGAAAGAGACAGAATAGGGCTGGGTTCCCAGAGGCCTTGCCCTGCTCCAGGCCTCAGTTTCCCCATAGATGAAATTGATATGGTCCCCACTGCTCAAACTACCCAGCGAGGGGAGTTCTGGACCCCCTGCAACACCCCTCCCACAGAGGGTGAGGGGCATGTAAGTTACTTCATGGAGGAGAAAGTGGAGAGCCCACCGTCATCCCCTACAATTCATGGAATCGAAGAGTCGGAGAATCCCTGGCTCCCAGAATCTACTGATAGTTACTGAATAAGGAAAGAGAGAAAAGTCTTGCCTCATCACGTTTTAGGGCTTGAGTGCCCTGACCCAGCCACTGTCCCACTGGGAAGGTCCCTAGCAGGTCCCCAGTATTAATGCATCCATCCTCACGAAGAAGCCCAGAGGCCCACTGGGACCCTGACCCTCTTGTTTCAGGAACATCATGGCCTGATCCTTCTGAGGCCCTCAGCCTTTGGGATCTTTTGCTTTGAAAAACCCCAGATTCCAAGGATTTAGGATTCCAAATATCCGCCATCATCTCAGTAGCTGATGTTTATCTTGAATTTTCCATGGGTCAGATACAATGCTGAACATGTCTCACAAGTGATCATGTTCAAACCTCACCATGGCCCCTTGAGCTCCATCTCATTATTATTGTATTGCTGTTATACAGATGAGGAAAATGGAGGTATAAGTAGTCAAGCAACTTGCCCAAGATCACAGAGCTGGCGAGTGTGGGTCCCGCTTTCTTTGGTGCCGGGCTTTGAAATCCCCAAGTTTTCCTGAACTCGATGGTCTCAGGTTTTAAATTCTAGGATGTGATGACAGGGAGATCCTGGGATTTGGAGAGTCCTTGGAGACTTGAAGCTTGTGAGGTTTTTAGGTTGTCCGGGAATTGGCGGCTGCATTTCTTGACCTCAGCAGGCACTCTATCCAACCACTGGTCAGCATGGTAGACCAGCCCCCAGGGGCTTCTCCTGACAGGCCATGGTGGAGACTTCCAGCTGCCAGCACCCTGCAAAGCCCAGGGTTCTAGTTGTCCAACGTCCATTCCAGCCCTCTACAAGACTGGCTTCAGACCTGGGGAAGAGAAATTGGAAAGGGCTTTTTATTTACATGGTACAAATCTGGTGGCCAAGACCCACCCCTTCACCCTTTTGCCCCCTTTCCTCCCCCAACCTTCTAAGCCCTCATAAAAAGGAGGGCCTCTTTCCTCAACTCAGACTCACCCTTCTGGAAAAGCCCAGAGTGGGCCTGATGGCCTGGCTTTGTGAAGAAAAAAAAAAAAAAAAAAAGAAGAAGAAAAAAAAAGACCTTAAAAAAATCAGCCAACAACAATTAAAAAAAAAAAAAAAAAAAAAAAAAAAAGTACCCAACCCTCCCTACCATTAGTTCAAAACAAAACTTTCACTGGTTGAGACTTCTGAGTTGGTGGGACACATCTGAGACCCAAAAATGGCTTGGGTGTGTTGGACAGCCAGGGGAGGCACCAAGGTGGGATGAGGTCCCCTGCTTGGAGGCCTGCAGGGACCCCGTGTACAGCAGTTGTTTAACAGATGTCACAGCATGTGGGAGGGAGCAAGGGAGGAGGTGAGGAGCATGCATGTCAGGAAGAAGTCCTGGGGAGCTGATTCTAGTGATGGTCCCAAGGTTAATGACCCCTTGCAGTGATGGTCCCAAGGTTAATGATCCCTTGCAGTGATGTTCCCATGGTTAATGACCCCTTGCTCCCTGCAGACTTGGGTCGGAGTGTTCCCTACACCTCCTGTGTAATTATAAACCAGGCCAGTTCTATCAGTGGAGGCCTTGTTCCCTGCCCCAGCACCTGTCCCCTCCTGGAAATGGGGGCTAGTTTTCTCTCTCAAGATCAGAGGTGTGGGCTGCATTCTCCTTACACCTTCTCCAGACCATCTGTCCCTTACTGTCACTCACTCCATGAAAGAGAGTGGCCAGAGAGATAGGAGGCAAACAGAGTGAAGGTGGTGGCCGAGAATGTCAGCTGGCCCCTTGGGCAGGGCCCAGGGTGTGAGAGGGAAATGCTAGGGCTGCTGAAAGCCAAGATCCTTGCAGAATGGGGGCTGGGGTCAGAAGGGCAGAGAGGAGTAGAGGTCGCTACCTCCCCTCTATACTGGACTATATCCTCTCTCATGGAGGGCTTCTCGGGAAGGAGACTGCGAGGGTTGGGAGTTGGGGGTGACTGGGCAAGATTAAATGGGTCAGGAAAAGTCCCCAGAGACAGGGGCCTCTGACAAAGACTTGAAGGAGATGAGGGAGGGAGCCAGCTAGATATCTGAGGAACTCCAAAGGAAACAGCCAGGGCAAAGGTCCTGAGGTGGCAGTATACCTGATTTGTTCAAGGTCTACAAAGAGGCTGGTGTGGTTAGTGTGGAGAGAGCAAGAAGAGAAGTTGGAGGTGAGGTCAGAAAGGGGACTTGGAGGTTAGACCACACAGGACCTTGTAGGCCATGGTAAAGACTTTGGCTTCAACGCTGAGTGAGGACGAAGGTATGACAGGGTTGTGAGCAGAGGAGAAACATAAACTGTGTTAGGATTTAACAGGAAACCCCTGAATGCTGAGTGTACAATGGAGTCTAGGGACTGAATGTGAAAGCAGGGGACCAGCAAGGAGCTGGTTACTGCAGTAGTCTAGGTGACTGGTGATACTGCTGCTAGTGGAGGTGGTGAGAAGAGGGTAGATTTGGTAAATATTTTTAATAGACAGCCAAAAGGATTTGTTGAAGACTGAGGGTCTTGGAGCCAGATCAGGACAGACAATGCCCAAACCAGGTGGGCAGGAAGGAGTCCCTGGACTATTTGCCAGCTTGAACTTTTAGGTGAGAAAAAAATAAAGTTCTATCTTTCTTAAGCCTCCATTATTTTATGATTTTTCTGTTACTTGCAACTGAACATATTTCTTTCTAACTCATGGACATCCTGGAGACCTGGGGAGAGGGGCTGCTGGAAGGATCACCTCCCTCCTAGGATGCTGTGAGGTTCTAATGAGGTAACAGCATGCTCAGAACCTGGCACTCAGTAGGTGTTCAGTAAATCTTCCCAGGATGGAGAAGGAATGTATGAATAGATGTATTCAGTGGACAAAAGCTGCAGTTGAGTTCCCACAGAAGGTGAGACTGCAAAAGGAGAGTGAAAGGAGTTCACTAGATGGAAGCAGCAGAAGGAACAGCACTCTTGCGAGAGGGAACAGTAGCAGCAGAGATGGGGGGACAGAAAGAAGCGAGGTGAGGCCCCTGTGGGGTGTGGAGTATCAGGTTGGGCAAGAAGGACAGGGCTTTAATTGTGATTCCGTTGGTCAGAAGCTACCCATATGCCCAATCGACTTCTGGTAGCGGACAGTCAGCCTCAGTGTTTGCTAAGCTGAAATTTTAAAAAGTGAATCCTTCAGAAAATTAAATATCCTATTCGGCCATTCATTCAACAATAGTACCAAGTCCTGGAGCGTGCTTGCGGTTGACATCAGGGGCATTCTTGGCTTGTGGCACTGCTCAAGCAAAGGTTGGAGTTGGGCAGGGAGGACCCAGTAAGTAACTAACTGCAACAGGAGAGTCCTTTTCTCTTTCCTAGGTCACGCACCAGGGTGTGGTCTAGGCCTTCAGAGGCTCTGGGTATTCCTGGGACCATGGGGAGTCACGGAGGATTAGGGAGAGGGTAACTCCATCCCTGAGAGGAACATTTTTCCTAACGGCTGCCTGCGTTCTTTGGTCCTGCTGTCCGGCCACCCAATAGCTCAGACTATGCCTACACAGCGTCCTCCCCTCCGGCCTCCTTATTGGCTACTCATGCCTCCCTTCACACCACCTACACCGCCCCCGTCGGCTCTGCTGTTTTCGCGTCTTGCCTCCAAGCCCTCCCTCCGTCCCCGAGGCACTTTCCAGCCTCGGCATTGGTTCATCCCATACTGCTCTTTATGGTCTCACCGCCTTCACCCTGGCTCCCTCATTGGCTATCCGCCATCTCTCGTCCTCGCTCCCGCCTTCAGCCTCCACCTCCATTGGCTCGACCCCCTATGGTCCCACCTCCGTGGCCGCTGACACACCCGCCTCTTAGTCTCCTTTTAGCCTTCCTATTGGCTAGCTCCGCCTTGGCACCGCCCTCAAAGCGCTAGTGCACGCTCACAAGCCTTCCCATTGGCTTGCTGCAGCTATATCGTCATCCCGCGCGCGGCTCTCCATTGGCTGTTCTCTGTCTCTAGCTTCTGTTCCACCGCCTACGCAACCCGCGGGATCTCCCACTTTGTGGGCCTCTGCGTTCGTTCCCGGCTGCCCTCATCGCCTGTAGCCATTCCACTTTTCCCACCGCCCACATGTCGCTCTCGCTCAGACTTCCGCATTAGCTGTCTCCTTCTGCTTTCTTCATCCTGGATTGCGCACCACCCCCATTCCGGCCTCTCCATTGATTCCTCGATCATCCCGCCCCCTACACCGCCCACTACCGGGCATTCCCATTGGCTGTGTGCTTCTCCGGCTCTCAATTCGCTGCTACGTCATCCGCGTATGGCTGCCCATTGGCCCTCTGCTATACCTGTCTTCATCTCACCGCCTACGCCTCCGTGAGCCGTACCCCTCCGCGCTGGCCTTCCCATTGGCTGCCCGCCCCTTCAGGCCCTGCCCCCGCCGGTCCCGCCGCCGGTGCCGTCGGTGCCGCCGCCGCCGCCGATATGGCGCGAACGGCCCCTGTGGAGCCCCCGCTGCGGCATTCCGCGCCCCCCTCGCCGGCCGCGGGTGAGCCCCGCACCTCGGTCGAGGCGGCGGTGGCCCCGCGGAGGGTGCTGTTCGCCGACGAGGCCCTGGGGCTGCCGCTGGCGCAGCTGCGCCGCTACCGGCCGTGGGGCGGGCCCGGGGCGGGCAAGATGGCGGCGGCGGCCGGGCAAGATGGCGGCGGCGGCGGGGCCGACGAGGACGACGATGGCGAGGATGGGGATGAAGGGGAGGAGGAAGAGGAGGCTGGCCCCGAGCCCTCGCCGCTGTGCCCTGTCCCCGCTGACGGGGGGTTTTACCTGGTCCCCACATTTTCGCTGCCGCCCGCGCCGGGCCGTCTGGAGCGCTTGGGGCGCGTCATGGTGGAGCTGGAGGCGCTGCTGCCGCCTCCCGGAGCGGTTCCCGGGGGTGCCGGGGTGTGGGTGCCGGGGGGCCGCCCGCCGGTGCTGCGCGGGTTGGTACGCGTGCTGAACCGCTCCTTCGAGAAGGCGGTGCACGTGCGGGCCTCACACGACGGCTGGGCTTCCTTCTGCGACCACCCAGCGCGCTACGTCCCGCGCAGCCCGCCGTGGGCAGGAGCGGGAGGAACAGGAGCAGGAGATCCCATCCTGGATCCGGGGCTCGGCCTGGGCCCCGGCCAGGCGTCCGCCTCCTCGCCCGACGACGGCGGCCGCACTGACCGCTTTGCCTTCCAGCTGCCCTTTGCTGAGGGCGCGGGCGATGGGGCGCGCCTCGACTTCGTGGTGCGCTATGAGACCCCCGAGGGCACTTTCTGGGCCAACAACCACGGCCGCAACTACACAGTCCTGCTCCGGATCGCACCCGCTCCCTCACCCGCTGATGCGGAAGGGCTGCCCCAGCAGCAGCAGCTGCAGCAGCTGGAGCCACAGCCCGAGTGCCAGGGTCCCGTGGAGGCTGAGGCCAGGCAGCTGAAGAGCTGCATGAAGCCGGTGAGGCGCAGGTAATGTCAGCCAGCGCCACCTCCGCCAACGCAGGGCTGTGTCTGGGATGGAGGACAAACATTCCGGCCCAGGAACCCCTCAGGCCTGCTCTCCAGAACAGGGAGGAGGGTGCATTGAGTCAGTTAGTCCAAGAGTGATGGAGGTCAAACATGTGCTAGGCACTGTTTTAACTGGGGTTTTATTCATTCATTTATTGAGTTCCACTGTAAAGCCCTGAACAAGACAGACATCTACCCTGCCCTCAAGGATTCATACAGGCTCCTATGGGAGACAGTTTGAAAAAACAAGGGAGGAAGCAGATAGGATAAATAGGGACAAAGCTGCTGAAGGGAGTAAGGGGATAGATTGGGAGGGAATGACTGTATTAGACATACTGTTAAAGGGAGGGCCTGTGAGGAGGTGAGTCCCGAATGATGATAAAGAAGAGTTATGCAGATACGGTGGGGAGGTGGGGTAGAGTTTGTAGAAGAAGGAATAGGGAGGATTTTTCTGAGGACGTTTCA